CGAGGCTGTGGAGAATTAGGAACTCTTCTCCACTGCTGGTGGGAATACAGACTGGTGAAATCACTGTGGAAATCAGTTTGGAGATTTCTCAGAAAACTAAGTCTGGAGGTGCCATTCAACCCAGCTATTCCCCTTCTGGGTATTTTCCCAGAAGAAGTAAAACATCATATCACAGCGATATATGTGCACCTATGCTCATAGAAGTGCTATTTGTAACTGCTAACTTGTGGAAGCAACCCAAATGTCTGTCCACTGAGGACTGGATAAAAAAAAAAAAATGTGGTGCTTTTATATAATAGAATATTACTCAGCTATAAAGAAAGATGAACTCGAGGCATTTATAGGTAAATGGTCACAACTAGAGACCATACTCATAAGTGAAATAAATTACACCTGCCTGTGTAAGCACCACATTGTCTGGCTAGTGTCAGACCTGAAGGAGTGAATAAAAACTAGGAGCTATGAAAGACATTGTGAAATGAAAGGAAAATAGTCTAAAGTAAAGGGCATCAGGGGTGTGGAAAAAGAAGGGGAAATTATGTAAGTATGTACATACAGGATAGCTAACATAGTTGAACTACTGTCTTGTACTGCTTTACTGAAAGAAACAGTTAATGATTACTTGATTGATCAATAGTGCATATCTTTATTAGTTTTCCTGAGAAACCTCCTGGAAGATATCAATATGTAATACAATAAGCATTGTTAATTTCCTACCACTTTGCTTGTAATTCTGTATTGTTTGTATTGTTCTTTTCCTATTTTGTAAATATTTGCCTGTTTGTTTATGTGCTTTCCTTCCTTCATTTTTCAAAATAAAAAAAAAGAGAGACAGAAAGAAATTCATTATAGACAGGCAAGGAAGAAAGTGAATTATCCTTCTTTATTGATGACATGACCATCTAAAGAGAAGACCACGAAACCTGCACCAACAGTTGCCAAGAATTAGTATCCAAATTATCCAGTATAGCAGGATAGAATGGAAATACTAAAAAAATTACTAGCATCTCTTTACACCAAAAACAATCTCACTGAAAAGCAAATTAGAGAAACAATACCTTTAAAAATAGCATTAAGAAAACTGAAATATTCAGGAATCAAGTAACTAAAGGAGTGAATGTTTTTACAGTTAAACCTACAGTACTTTGAAAAAGGAGATTATAGAGAACATCAGAACACAGAAACATACCCCTTGTTTCTGGATAAGCAGAAAGATTTTGGTAAAAATGGCCTTAGTTCCAAAACTATTAGAGAGACAATGCAATCCCAATAAAGACACCAAAAATAATCATTATAGGCTTGGAGAAATTAACCCTAAAATTCACATGGAACAGCAAGAGACTTACCATAGAAAAATAGCTCTAGATAACAAGGGTAGGCCAGCAGGGGGAGGAAGGAAACACCATCCCAGATTTCAAGTTCTACTACAGAGCTACAGTGAGAAAAATAGATGTATTCACAAAATAGAGACTCGTGGATCAATGGAAGAGAATACAAAGGCAGAAGCAAACAGACACACAGCTACGTTATTGTTCTTCAGATGACAAAATCCTTTCGCCTCAGGAAAGACAGCCTCTTTAACAAACAATACTGGGAAAACTGGCTATCCACATGGTGCAGATTAAACCTAGATGCATATCTCTCACCATCCACTAATCTAAGATCAAAATATATGAAAGACTTAACATTGGAACAGAAACAATCTACTGGAAGACACTTTAGGTAAAACTCCTAAAGACATAGGTATAGGCAAAGGCTTTCTGAACAAAACACTGGTTGCCCAAGAAATAACATCAAGAATCAACAAATGGGATCATATAATGTTATAAACATCCACACAGCAAAGGAAACCACTAACAGAGGGAAAACACAATACATAGAATTTGCTAACTATGCCTCAGACAAAAGGCTAATATCTAGAGTGTAAAAAGAACTAAAAAATTAGACTCTAGAAATTTAAAGACCCAATCCAAAAATGGGCATCTGAATTTAATAGACACTTCTCAGATTAAGAAATTCAAATGAAAAATAAGTACATGAAAAAATGTTTAATAGCATGGACCATTTAAATAATGCAAGGTAAAACCACACAGATTCCATCTCACTAGCAAGAATTGTTACCATTCATAAATCAACTAATGATAAATGTCGGGGAGGCTGTGGGAAGCAAGAAACACTTCTTTGTTGTTGGGGATACTGTAAAACTGATACAACCACTATGGAAATCCATATGGTGATTCCTCAATAATTTAAGAGCAGAAATTACATTTCATCCAGCTATTCACCTTCTCAGTGTCTTTCCAAAAGGTTTACAGATACTATAGCATTGTGGTAAGCATAACCATGTTAATAACCATTCAATTCAAAATATCCAAGAGTTGGAAATCTCCCATTCTCAATCAAAAGATGAATGGGTAAACAAAATGTGGCCTTTATACAAAATGAAGTATCACTCTGCCATAAAAAAGACAAACTCGAGCCATTGCTAGAAAAATGAATGCACTTCAAACCATAATACTAAGAGGAATGACTCAGGCACAGAAGCTTAAATATCACATATTTTCTCTTTAAAAAATATATATATATACACGACAGGTAATAAAAACGTGAATTTAAAAAGGTATTGAAATCCATGTGCACAAAGTATCTAAAATTGTAAATTGACCTACCATAAATATTTTACTTGGTGTTTGGACTATTATTTTAGTTCTTAATCTGTAATTAGTTGACAAAATTGTAATAAAATAAACACATGACCTTGATGATGGAAAAATAAAATAGGGTAGATGGAGGGAGAAAATAAGAGAATTGAAATATAGTATGTAGATGTACCAATTTCCCTTAATGTACTCACTGTGTATGGCAAACCTGTACTAATAAAACTCAAAAAATAAACTTAAAAAAGTCTCATTTCATGACAAGTTCTCTTTCAAAGATTAATGATAAGAGACATTCCTCCTACAAAGATTTTGAGAAAACTATGTCTCATATGAACTTCTGCTAATCCAGAAATTTTTATTTGACTTTTCTAACACACCTCTCTACATAACTTTGGATTGGGGGGCCATAACATTATATGACCATCTTTTACTCAGGGTAGATCAATCCTGTGAGTAGGAAAAGGATGAGATGAGTCAGCAGGCAGTGGATCACTGCATCAGATGAAGCTAGCTATCATAAACAACACTACATGTACTTGACGTACAAAACTATAGCAGTAAATATAGAGAATTGGATTCTTCTGTGTCAGGATGCAGTAGATAGAACTCTCACACTTAACTGTGACTCTGATCAGTCATATGCCAGACCAAGTGTAAGCCACATAGACAGTTTTTGTCCTAACACTTATATTGAAAGGACAATGTTGATGCTCAAGAACCATTGCACATTCTTTACATTAAGTTCTGCAATAAAGACTTATACTGGCTTTCAGAAGTATCAATGTATTCATCTCCATAGCACATCTGATAATATTCTAAGGAGTATTTAGTGACAGAAAAACAGCTGCCCTGATGTAAGTTTTACCTAATCATCAGTATAAGAATCAAATGTCTCTCTCCCAAACATGACTAGTGGGACTTTGGAAAGCTTACATAATTTACTTTTAAGAAATATCATGGAAAGCACAAGCTTATAAGCAAAATATGTCCTGACTCCAACTAGGATAAGTACAGAAAAATGATAAAATAATGACACTGGAATAATATTGTTCTCCATTATATTAGAAGGAACTGTTAAAGTTTAATAATATGTCATGTGCTGATTAATTTTTTGTGTTTCTTAGGAGAGGTGAAGAACCCCGCTCAGACAATTCCCACATCGTTGATTTCTGCCATGTCCATCATGATTGTGATATACTTATTGACTAATATATCCTACCTGACAGTTTTAACACCAGAGGAAATCATCTCTTCAGGTATGATTGTGTGTGAACAAGAGCAAAATAGTCGCATCTACCTACTTAAATTAAACAGGTACACCACTATGCAATAGATTTGGTTGATACACATTTAGTCATATACATATAATCTGCTCATGTTTTTGATTTTGTAAAGTGTGCAAAAAATATTTTTTCAATTTGTACAAGGACTACACTTGATAGCACTTAGTTCTGAGAATAGATGAAAATGAAGGAGGAAGAACTAAACAGAGAGAGGAGGGGAAGTAGAGGAAGGAAGATGAGTTGGAGACAAGGAGGTGGAATATTATGGGGGAAACTTAAATAAGAAAGGCACCCCAAAAAAATTAACTATTTTCCTAAGATGTTCCATCTTTTAGGGTACACACAGACTTCTATCTTCAATGTACCTCTTTCAAATAGGCATTACCATCCTCATCTCTTTGAAGAAGAATATGAAATTCAGAGTACTAAAGTCATGTTGGATAGAGGGAGGGGCTGATTTAAGAGTGAACAGTGAATGTCAACTGACATAATGATAAAAATTATCTCCTCTTCAGATTATTAGTAATAATAGCTTGTAAATGTGTGCAACAATTATAAGGATTGAAGTTCAAAAGATACCAAAAGAATGATATTTGATGTTACATAGCAATTGACAGAAATAGGACTCTAACCCAGGCTTCTAATTTTAAAACCATATACTCAGTCACTGTGTTAAAGCATACTTTACAAACAGATCAGATCAAAGCATCACTAAGATGATTTCTCAGCAGTTCAGGAGTAAAATGAAGATATTATTAGAGAGTTGTCACACAAGAAAACTTATTAACATACAGAATCACAACGCACACACATACATATAAATGAAGGATACAAAGTTCAGTTTAATTAATAACAATAAGATAGAAACTGAAATTCAGAAAAAACTTAGTAAGCTTTTATGTTTTAAACACATTTATCCTGCAGGAAAAAAATGTTATATGGAAAATTCACGTAATAAGAACAGTTATATGGAAAATTCATGTAATAAGAACAATTAAATTTGAAATATTCCACACAAATTCCAAACAATACACCAGTAAAAACACATCCTGAAAAACACAGATACACCAGTAGACACAGAGGAATAAGACCATGAGCCAACACAGAGAGATGTGAACAGATATATAAATTTCCACTATTCAAAAAATCAGAAGGTGGTTCAGACAATTGCCCAGGGAATAGCATGCAAACATATTGATTATAAAATAGAAAGACAATTATAAGTTCAAAAAGAAAACACATGAGTGTTACCACTACCTAGTGCCAACTGTTGATCTCACAGGAACGCTGAAATCCACTACAGGATAGGGTTTACTTAATGAGAAGAAGGAAAAATTCTAATTTGTCTTATATTTCAGCTGGAATCCCTTCTGCAAGTTCTATACAAATCTACCTCACTGCAGTTCAATATTTGCCCATCATGATTTCCACTCTTCACGCCTCGGTCCAGAGCCTCCTTGCTCTTGCCTGGTTTATGGCAACAACCTCTTAATGTATGGAGTTCTTCCAATCCGGCCTCCTTTCATGTTCTGCGGATAACTTTATGATATACAAACTTACAAAAGCCACTTCCCTGCTTAAACACTGCTGTCATTTTTCTTGTCTGTCTTCCTAATCTCTCTCTCCGTCACAGAAGCTTCAACCACCACATCATCACTGCAACACTTCCTTCCTGCAGACCAAATGATCACTTCCCAGTTGGCCACAGCACTTTCTGAACTAAGGCCTTCTACAGAGCTAATTCCTTGTGCTCATCCACCACATCTTTCTGCATTGCACTCTGCTCGCTGCACCCTCCAGGATAACCCTGAATGTCTGCAACCAGGCATATTTGGCTACCTCATGTTGACAGTAGGATTGATATCAAGTGCAGCATCTCCAGAGCCCAAGTGCCTCATTCTATATAAGCAGGAGTCTGACAAATGCATTTTAAAATCAAAATTACCCAAAACTTTAAATTCTCATGGCAGTGATCTTTCAGCAAGTGTTAACACTTTAAAAACTCTTTCAATTGGAGAACATATATGGCCTCTAGAGAAATGATAGCACTTATTTTTGCAAATACAAATGTACAATTAAGAGGTTGGTATTGAAAATTGACATGAAATAATTCATATATTAATTCATGCAATGCTCATTGGAAAATACTATGATCTCATATCTAACAAGACAGCACAATTATATCACACAATTGTCCCCACTTGAACTGTTAACTACTGCACAACAGATTTCAAGTATTTACAGCATGCTTGACGGATACACAACACAATATTCTACATTTTTAATGTGTTATTTCATTTAGTTAGACAACTATATCCAAGGAAAACCCTTCCATTTTATTTTTACTTGATAATATAACAGTTGACCATATCAGTTATTGTTTTTTAGCAAACTTCCAGAAATATACTGACATAAAGCAAACATTACAGAGCAGACTTCTACAGATCCCCAATTTATGACAGGATCAGGTGAGCATGCTATGGCCATTTCTGAGTCTTCAAATTCCTGGACTATTTGAAAGAGTTTACCATGACTCCTGCCATGCTCTTTGGGATCCCACAAGGATGTTATTTCAAGCTTTGGATTCCAAATGCAACAACATGGTTATATGTGCAAGAATTTTATTAGGGCAAAGGCTTGGTGTTAAATCAATGAGGCAAGAAACCAGGAGACAGTTGAGACCATAACTCAAGTTTAGGCCAAAGTGAAGGGCATAAGAAAGGGAGGATGCATAAAAGCATCTCTGGGAGCCACAGAATATAAGGAAGATTTGGCAAGTACATAAGGAGCTTTTAGCCATCATTGGCCATCAGGTAAATGAGTGCTCATGTTTCTCTGCCACACAAAGTCATTAGCTGAGAGCATCCCGTGAGGAGTGCTGCTTTAAAAAATGTGTCATACCAGATTTCACAAAGCAGTAGGCGCACTAGGCCAATTATGTTTCTAAGAGCACGAACTCTTTTATGCATTTCCACATCTCCAGAGATAACATGGCTTGCAAGGACTCTGTCCTGCACTAGTCCTGAACTAGGTTAAGCTTCTTAATATGGTAGCTAGTCAGGGTTCCAATCAAGAGAGAAAATAGAAGCCTACCGTACCTCTTCAAAAGTAGCTGAAAACTGACAGTTAACAATTTCCATTTTTTTAGTCAAAACATAAAGGAGGCTACAACTGAGTCAAGGAGTTGAGGACAGTTCCTCCCTTGTAAGTGGCAGTCAACTCACATCACAAAAGGATCAGATTCAGGAAGCATGAAGTATTGTCCTGTGAATTTGCAAAAATGCCAAAGTGACTACGACCTTTGAATTTTCTTCAATGTTTGCAGATTCTGTTGCTGCCACATGGGTGGACAGAGTGCTCCCTTCCATGCAATGGGTCGTTTCACTGGGGATTTCGATGTCAATAGTTGACACTACTTCCTGTGGAATCCTTTCTGGATCAAGGATTCTCTACATTGCAAGCCAAGAAGGACAATTGCCTCGGATCTTCTCTATGCTTAACGAGCACCTCTCTCCAGCTGCAGCTGTGATCCAGTTAATTATTTTAACTTCTATTGCCGTTATACCATCAAATTTGATCTATTTACTAAAATATGTGGGATTAGCTTCGTGGACTATAAGTGGGCTTAATATGATTGCTTTACTTAAATTAAGGTACCAGAATCCAGATCTACCAAGACCTTACAAGGTAAATCAAAATTGAAATATTAACATTAATTTAGTACTATCCCTACACAATTAAGACATGTAGAAGGTATATGAATGCTTCTAAACTATTGCTAGCTTTTTTTTATAAAACATCTGCTCTGGGAATACATTTCCTAATTTTCTGTGATGGACCATTTTTTTTACCTCATTTCTTTATGTTAATTTTTAGTGTAAAATTTGAAATTTTATATTTTTATAAGGAAGATAGGTGTTGTCTTCATAAATTTCAGGAATTGGCAGTAAGATTTTAGCGAGAAAATATTTCATTTATATAAGAAATTAAGACCCATAATAAAATTGTGAACTTTAACTTCAAATTTGAATCACTGCACTGCATAAATTACTTGACAGGACTACTGGAACTCGTGAGAGTTTATTCTATGATAGCTTGTGTGTCTAGAACTGAGGTTTGATCTGAAGGCCTCATGCATGGTAAGCAAGTGGTGTCCCACAGAGCCATACTGAAGGCCATTACAATATACTAGTAGAAAGCACTGCTTTACTAGCGGGACAAAGCCCATGCGCAGACACAGAGTAAGGTGTGCAGAGTTCAGCTAAATGAGTGATTCACAACATTTATAGAACCAGGAACCAGTTTTGTGGAACATAAGTTTATGACAGAGTGGAGGCAGGAGACTGATGTTTTCCACATTATTCAAGCACATTATACTGATTTTAAACTTTTGCATTAGTATTATATTACAATATATAACAATATCATGATAAAACTCCCTATAATCTCACATCAGTGCCAAGGCTGATGCTGTGTTCCAGCAACTACATGGTGATGTAAATTCACCTGCCAGTGTAAAGGCTTTCACTAGACACAACTTAATTCAATTTGCCAGGCAATAATATGGTTTAGATATATGGCTCTGCAAGTTTTTAATTAGTATGGTCTCGGTGCAGTCACACCGCTCTGCTAACGTTAACCTGCATTTTTAGCTGCACCCCACCACTAGCAACACTACCTCAAGTCCATTTCAGATCTTCAGGCACTAGGTTTTCATAAGAGGCACAACAACCTAGATCCTCACAGTTGTGCTTCACAGAAGAATTCATGCTCCTATGAGAATCTAGTGCTGCTGCTGATCTGACAGGACATTAAGCTCAATGGTAATATGGAAGGTCTGTAAATACAGAAGAGGTTTTGCTCTCTGGTACACTGTTCATCTTCTGCTGTGCTGAGAAGTTGCTACCACTCTGTGGCCAGGATTGTGGGAACTTTGCAGTACATGATAGCCCCTGTTGCACCAATTTATGGATACATATTGTGTGAAAGAACAAAGACTTCACATGCAGGAGAAATAATAGCAGATTCTTCTTTAAAAGTCTGCTGTGACAAGAACATGGATAGTGAGCGAGGCCGAGGTGTCAGAAGAGGCAGACCAAAGAGATGGTCTGCATTCTAGAAATAACTGGGCTCTACTCAAGACAATTTCAAGGCTCAGATTGATTAATCTAGATTTATGGAGCTGACCTGGAATTGAAAACTAGCATTGTGATAGAAGAACCCAAGTTTTCCTAATATTTACTATAGCAAAGAATGTATTATTTTGTCAAGAACACATCAGTGAGATGGTCTGTGATCGTCACATCAGAGATACTGAGGCTGCTCCTAACGTACCGGACTGTGTAGTCCTTGTGGTTTCCTGCTTGGAGAATTGTTATAAAGCTTGCTGGCATGCATTTTGTGAACTACATTTTTACGTTGTTTATGTGTATTCATCTCCCTCATATGTCCTTCTCATTTTCACTTGTCTTTGTATGAAATAAGCTATAACTTCTTATAATGCAAATTAAGAAGGTTCCAGAGTATGTTTCTTTCTTAATCAGGCTATAAATATAATCAAGTGTACTCATCCTTTCAGACACTTCTTGCTTATAGATGTGGTAGGAATGTAAATGAGAAACCCATAATTCATGCAGTCACTAAAATAAATGCTTGAGTGTTCTTACTTTAGTTTCTATGCTCACGTTCATCCCTGGGATTCTCATTTACTCAGTCTTCATGGGACACTAACAATCTGTATAATTATCAATCATACAGCTTTAGTCATTGAAAGCTTCTCATTTTTTGTATTTAGGGACACACCCTTTATACTCAGAGGTCCACTAGTAATATTTTCAGAAACGTGAACCTGTGTCATCCTCCACTCTCTTTTCCCCACAGATAGGTTCTTCCTTGCCTATGAGCATTGTGAAAAATGGGAATGAAGATAACTTTTTCTTGCGATATTCATTTATGAAACAAATGTGCAGTGAACAGCTGCTATTTCTCAGTGTCACTTCTAGGCAGTTCAGACAAATCAGTCAGTCTTTCCACAGAGGATATTATGATCCTCATCACAAAGTAAGAAATGTCCACAAATACATTAACAAAGTGCATCAAGAAGTGTCACTTTTTTCAGCAAGATCTGTTGAAATGTAATGAATGCATTTCTCACCAGTACTTAAAAATCAACACTATCCAGGACACTATTTTACAAATGAAAATCAGGTCAGAAAGAGCAAGGAGAAACATATATTAGTTAATACATATGACAAACAAATAATAGCTTGGTTTCCTAAATCGAAAAACTGAGTATGTTTCAAATTCTAAAGCTGAAATAATATAATTAATTCTTTATATTTTACATGACAAACAATAATATATCTTTTCATAAGTAAAAGCACAAACTTTCACTAATTTTAGTAAATAAAAGATACAATCTGTTAAGAAAAGAAATGGTTTCCTTAAAAATTCAGTGCATGCTTAATGTGCTTTAGTCTCTTTTTCCCTACAATAAAACTTAGACTATCCATAAGAGTATCCATCTAAACCTATTTGAAAACATGGATGCAGTTACCTCTCCTTTGTTATCCCTCACTTATAAAACCTATGTCTGTAAAAAAATACTGAGAAAAAAATCACCACTAATGTTGGTTTTCTTTCTTCTTTCAGGTTTGGCTGCCAATGATATTTGCATCTTTAGCATCTTCTGCCTTTCTAATTTTTATGCCAATCATTCAGTCTCCTAAAATGGAGCATATTTACCAAGTTGTCTTTGTTTTAAGTGGAGTTCTGTATTACCTGCTCCATGTTCACTTTAATCAAGGTTCTGTTTATTCTGAGAAAATCACTTGTTATTTACAGTTATTATTTAATATGTCACCTTCAGAAGATCAAGAAAATTATATTTCTATAGAAAAACATTGATTATAAACAAGTATTTGTGAAAATAAAAGATATTAAATTTTGAAACTGAAGTGAACAAATAGATCCCTGCAAATCTCCAAAATATAGAACAAAGTCACACACTCCTCTACATACATTTATCATATGTACAGAGATAGGAGCTCCGATTTCCAGTATAAATCAATGATAAGCACATGTGCTGTAATTTGCATATGAAACATTCCCCATAGACTCAGTGTTGCACAGTCAACTCTGAGGGGATGTTGATGGGAATGATGGACACTAGGCAGAGAGCCTTAGCCAGAGAATGTAAGTCATGTGGGACCTGCCTTTGAAAGTTGTTGTTCTCCTGGCCTTTTCTTCAGTCTTTCTCTCTGCATTCTCTCTGCCATGACAAGAGACCCTTTCCTCCACCACATGCTTCCTGTTTTTCTGGTACTGGGTATGGAACAGAGGACCTTGGGCTTGCTAGGCAGGCACTGTGGCACTGAGATATCTCCCTGGTTCCCACATGCTTTCTGACATGATGTTCAGCATCACCACAAGCCCAGAGGAACAAAACCAACCATTGAAATTTCTCAAACAATGACCTAAAGTAATTCTTTAATCCCCTGTAGGCATGTTCAGTGTAACAGAAAACTAATACCAAAAAACGAGGTTTGCAACTTATATTTGGTGAATGGAAGAATTTAGCAAAATTTGGAGAAGAAAACAAGTGAAAATATGCTGAGTCCATTACCCATTTTCCCATCCCTAAAACAAGATACTCACCCTCACCAATTTAAATGAGAAGAGGCTTACCTTGGCTCTTGGCTAGCTGGGTTCAGTCCATGGTTGACAGGCTCCGTGGAAGAAAAAATATAGTAAAAATGTATGGAGTAGAAATCTAATCAGCTCAAGGAATCCAGGAAGTAAACAGAGAAAAGAGAGGATGTGAAGAAAAAAACACACCATTCTGAGCCATGGACCCAGTGACTCACTGCCTCTAAAAAGGTCCCAGCCTATAAATGACACCTTCACCTCTAAACTCATCAATGGACGAATGCACTAAGAACTGCACATTCATATTACATTTACCTTACAAAAGCTTCAGTTATGTATATAGAGACATTTAGAGAACACTTTAGATTTGAACAATTACATTCTCCCTTGACATCTAAAATGCTTATGTACCTGTCATTATACAAAATATATTTTAGTCTTTCTGGAGCAATTTTCAGAATTGCAACAGTTCCAACATTTCTCAGTAGCGAAAGTCCATATTGTCCTGTGAGAATCAAGGAAAACTCATGCATGGGATGCCTTTAAACACTCCAATATAAAATGGCACAAATAACCTGACTCAAGCAACAGAATTTACACTTCATTTAGCTCTGCTCTTTTAATCCTGATTTTCGCCTTCAGTCTGGTTAAAAGCACTCAGATATCCTCTGGCACAACCAAAAACTTGGGCTGTCTTGAAAATTCCTGTTAGATCATTGAGTTTGCCACTTTTATATTCATCCTCACACCAAATTTTAGGCATGGAAACAGTGTAGACAAATTCTTTGCCAAATGGAAACATGCATGGCCTGTTGTGTAGTTTTCAACAGAGTCTTCATTTCCTGCTAAAACCCCATCAGTCTGTCCATTACTGCCCATAGTCTCATTAGCATTCTGGAATTCTGAGCATGGTCCCATGCCATAAAGTTCTTCTTGCAGCATCCTAAGTCTTCTCTTGTTTTCATCTCCAAAACTTTCTAAGTGATTTTCACAAAAAAGTTTCAAAACTTTCTGCATCACATGTGTATGCATGGTAACAACAATGACCCACCCATGTAACAATATGTTCATAGTAATTTTCTAACTCTGTGGCAAAATTCCCACCACCGATTTTTCAAAGGACAAGATTTGTTTTGGTTCATGATCTCATATTTCGTGGTTTGCTAGCTCCAATGCAGAACGGTGCCTTGGTACATTGGTGAGGCAGAAAATAGCTATTCATGTGCAAAATGCAATGAGAAAGAGAGAAAGAGAGACAGAGAGACAGAGACAGAGACAGAGCAGAGACAGACACAAACAATCAGAGAAAAATTGCATTCTTCTAGGTCACAAAATAGGTCACCTACCTCCTCTACCAAGACCGTATACCGTATACTAATCAAAATACACTGAGGACTACAACACTGTATTAGTCATACTTTCATTGCTGACATGGATACTGGAAACACACATATGGAGAAGAGATTTATTTTCTCATAATTTGAGTCAATAAGCAGCTAGTTCTAAGATGAGATATCATGGCAGCAGGGCATGGATGGGCAAATCTGCTCATTTCATGGCAGTCTATGAGCAGAGCAGGGGAAGAGGGCCAGAGTGGACAGGATGAGGGGTCAGACCATCCATATGACCCATGGCTGTCACTCTAGGGTACACCCAAACACACTTTCACATGTGATTCATCAATCCCTGGTGATAGGTCCCAAGAAAAATCAAGTTGAAAGTCAATCCTTAACCATTACAAGCACCCTTATAGATTGGACAACCTCCAAAAGACCCACCTTTGAATACATAAGGTTTGAGGGGACAATTTAGATCTAAACCATAACAAAAGTTTCAGGGACAGTTCTGTGATAAGCTCAGATGAATGCTGATAAGACTGCATAAAGTAATACCCCTGACCTTGATGTTACCAAGGAGAATGAGGACTGTGTTGAGAACTGGTGTGGAGGCCATATATGTCCTTCTCTGGAATAAACTTATCTCATGGTTGTAGGTGTGCTGAAAGTTTGGACAAGACAGAATGTAAAGGAGACAGACTAGCTTTGCTGGCACAGGATACTTCAGGACAGACACAGTACTCAGTTTTGGGATGGATATTGATGGCAGTTCAACCAGATTTACAGGGAAAATCAAGCACAAGCATCAAAACGGAAAGTTTTTAAAAACTTGCATTTGGCTAGGAAATAAATTTCTGTGTAGCCTATGAAGTTATGGCTGCTGGATGGATTAACATCATTGAAATTAGACAAGCACTTTCATAGAAGTGTATAGGACAGCGGTATTCAGAGGTGGGAGGGGGCAAAGTAAAAGGAGAGATGCTGATTGAAGAGTACAAACCTGTGGTTATAAGGAGAATAAGACTTGAGTCCTAATAAATAGCCTAGGGACAATAGTTAATAATAATATACTGACTACTTCATATTTGATAAATAGTGTAGATCATAAGTACTCTCCAGGTACATAAGCCATATATCATATGATATAGTCATTTAAAGCATCTAATGTCTTTGATTTACTGTTAATTTTCTAAAGGGTGGTAAATAAATAACATCTACATCAATAACAAGAAATTCGTGTATTATATTTACAAGCATTTCTGTATAAATCCTATAACATTGAATATCTTTCACAATTTACTCCATTAACATTGTCTACTTCAACATAGTTTCATTCCCCAAATTCTGAAGTTGTTAAGAGAAACAAATTTGCCTCCCACTCAGACACTAGCAATGTCTAATGAATTTTCTATGACTACTTACAAGAGAGATAAAATATAAAATAATGAGGAGGTATAATTTCACACCATCAGATAAAATTTCAAATTTGATAGTATGAATTCATGTCAATGTTGTGCAATTTGAAATTTCCTAATAAAAAGAGCAATTCCAAAATTTTAATGTATGTTTCATTCAACTTTGAACTGAATGACAAAACATTGAGATTACCAAAGAGGCTATGAATAAGTCAACAGATGAATAACTACGTCATGTTAAAACAACAAAAACTTTGAAGGTACCACCACTACTCTGAGTTCCCTGGTCCTCATACATTTTTTGACTTTTGTGCCTGTTTTCTTCTCACAAATACACATGAAATCCATCAGCAAAGTCAGTAGTCTCTTTTTTCAAAACATATTAAGAATACACAGCCTCAGATCTCCAATGTTAGCATTTAATATGGGCCGGGCCCCTGACATCTGCCAAGATGATTGTCTAAAGATCATCCTTATCCTTAACCTTGGTGAATAAATTATAAGTTAAGAGAAGAAATACAGCAGATACCAAGAGAATTACCTGTAGGAATATCTTTTGATAAGAAAACCATAAATGAAACCACCAACAGGAAACTTATTGGTACCCACTGGAAGTGATCCTGCAACTGATATTAAGATTAAACTCTTCTCACCTGTTCCTGAGGTTGGTCAATACAGTCATCTGGGAACTGCAATACTACAACCTCCCTGATTAAATCCACCACACTTACCCTCATGACCATTCGCAACATGACATACCTGGGTGTTCATGTAATTACTTATCTTTCCCTTGATTAAGATATAAAAGTGGCTTGTGTTTCCTGACTACAACAAATAGTCTTTATGTTGATCCTTCATATAGTGGAGGACAATAAATATTTGCTGTACCACCGGTGGGTAGGAATTTGAGGTACTGAGCATGGGAAATGTATGTAAGTCTAAGTCAAAGCAGGAGAGGAGCTTTGCTGGAACTGTACTTCCACTGACTTGCATGCAAGAATCCTCACAGTATGACACAACCTACAGGCAATAACAGGGCCACCATTCTGAGAGCAGAAAGGTTAGTGGAACTTCCGGAATGGGGAGAGTCCAGAAAGGGTTCTGCATCTAGGTGAGGCAGCAGCACTGCAGGGAGTCTATGAGTCACACAACTCACAAGGGTAGCAGCAATAGTTTGTGGCCTTCTATATACCAAGTAGATTAAAGGCCATTTTGTAAGAAATGTAAATCAGGGTGGCTCTATGTAAATAGTTAGAACTCTGCTTAGACTATGTTTAAAGCAAATGTGTATATTAATCTTTCGGTTTGGTGCTGTTACTTTTGAGCTAATGAGTCTCAGCCTACTATGAAGTAAACAACTTAGCGAGAGTATCAGTTAGGGAAATATATATATTTTCCAAGGTAGGTTTACCACAGCCACCTGGAGTTCCAGGTGTGGAAGAATGCAAAAGGGATATATGTACTTTAGAGAGCCAGGTGATCCAGTCAAAGGCAAAAGACCAGGAGGTCACTCCAGAGTCCCATGCTAGACCTTATCAGGAAGAAGAAGGGTCTGTGTTGGAGGGCTGAAGAGTGTACTGGAAGGCTGAGATGTCTGCACTGGAAGCCTGGAGATGGACCTTCAAGAGCAAGCATGAAGACGCATGATTATGAAAAGAAAAATAAGTGAGACTTCCTTCTTCTGTCTGATTTTATTCGATCCAGCATACAAGTCTATTAGTTGGGAACACAGAGTGGGTCTTTCTTCTTCAGTAAGTCTATCATGCAGACATACCCACAACCATGCTAAACCAATCAGGTAGATATTACTCTTTCAACCTGACTCCACAGTAACTATCACAGGGGGCAAGAAGAGAAGCCATTTCAGTTCATTTGTAAACCATTATATAATGGATGCACAATAAAAATAGCAAAATGAAGTTAATTTCCCTACAGCTCACGTCCTTCAAAATTAATTGATAAATAAATTTATGCATTAATGAATCTTCACACAGTGCTGGGAATAAAATCTATAGATTTAGAGAAGTTGGGAAAAAATATTGGCCTACATACATTTAGCCCTAATCAGCTTGCACATGGTGTTTGGGTCAATATACAAACACCAGGGAAAGTGAAATAACAAAGAAGGCACTTATTAATATGAATTGATACATCATTCATTATCAGGCAACTGGTCCTATAAAATAAAGTTATTGCAAGGTGTGCTAGCACACATCTGTAATCCCAGCACTCAGAGGGCTGAGGCAAAAGGATCACTGCAGGTTTGAAGCCAGCCTAACCTACATAGTGAAACCCTGTTTCAAAAAGACAAAAATAAAATAAAATAAAATAAAATAAAACAATTATCATGCTGTGAAGTATGAGAAATGTATAATTCAAAAAATTCAAAAAATATTATGTCCTAAAAGTCATATCAACTGAATGGAAAGATAAAATTAAAATTGTTGTCTACTTCAATGAAAAGTTTACATTTTGCCTAGTAAATATCAACGGTCTCGGTACAAATCTATACAGTAATACCCCACACTGAACTAATAATAGTGTCACTCCTTTGGTAATTTCCCTGGCAAACATATCCCCACACTTGTCCCAGTATTACAAAGTATATGAAAACCTACATGAAAGTGATTATAATGATGATCCTTAAAAATCTTGGTTTAGGTTCACAGAAACATGAACACTTGGTGACTCTCAGGGAACATCAGAATGTCTAATAACATTTCATATTCTTTAGATGTATGTGACAACTAAACCAAGAATGTAAATTCCTGTGATACTTACATTGCAGAAAAGTAATGCTATCTAAAGTATACAGGAACCAGTGCCAGGAAGTCATGGTAGATGACCATGTCCCACCAGAGGTGCCAGGAGAAGGGTCAGGGACCTCATGGGATGTAGACAACCTGCCCACTCTGAGCCTACCTGCCATTGTCCCATCAAACCTTGTCCTTCTCTCCACAAGCCCTATCCCATACCTATGTTCCTTAAAGTCTTTTCTTACAGATGCAATAGCTCCTTCATTCTCTTACAGACCCAGTTCTTTAATAAATGTGATGTGTTTTGCTTCATTTACTTATTTTTATTTTAAAGATAAAAAATATTGAAACAATAACCATTAAAACAAATCAAAACAACAAAAATGATACATGACCTCAAAGCAAAATGATAGGAAACAACAGTGGTTGCTACAATACATACTGTATCTTGAAGTTGCTCAGTCCAGCAGAGAAAAGTCATGTGTTTTCCACACATATTTTCTCCAGTGTTAGTTCTGCAAGATCAATGACATGGACTTAGTCCCATAACAGTGTTCTAACTCCAGAGTGACTTCACTCTCCAAAAACTTCTGCAATCTCACTTTCCCAATTAGCAGTGACTAACGTGTTCAGTGGCTTATGTAATTTTAAAACAACAATAGGTGACATGTAACACATTTTAACTCTGGTTTGAGGGAGAGAACACAAAATCATAGAAAAAAAGTCAATCATTTTAAAAACCAAATGAAGTTAAATAATAAACACCACCACACTTGGACAAGCGAGTTAAATAATAAAAAAACTTGCATAAGGATGAGATGGGTTAGTGTTGATAGAATATCTCTTCTGGGAGAGGCTTACTAAATCAACAGAAACTACAAAAGAAACCCTTGTGAAGCCCCATGTTTAGATTTTAGGACTGAAAAAAAATAGGGAAAGGCAAAAGCATGCAACTCTCCAGGGCAATAGGGTTTTTCCATGGAAACATCTTCTTATTTAGTGCCACAATAGGGGCAGGAATATTTATATCCCCTAAGGGGGTGCTGAAATCCTCCTCGGGGAACATTCCTGTCTCCCTGAGTATTTGGGCACTTTGCGGCATACTGAATATCGTCAATGGCCTCTGTGC